GACCTGCTCCATTTGGTAATCCAAACAAAACTAGAGATGTAGAAATATTAATCGATACTTTTTTTTAATTTGACTTGAAAGCTCGATAGTAACTATCGATATGATTATTCCTTATTTTGGTTCATCCACTAACCAGAGTGGTTAGTGGTTCATCCCGGTATGCTCATCAGTGTTGCCGTTTTGGCTTATTTTCGGCCAGATCTGGCTTATTTTCAAGTGCGTTTGCTAAAAAAAATTTGGAAATTGCGGGTAGCGGAAAGTCCGGCTTATTTATAAATACATACAATACAATACATATTTTTCTTAATATCTGATATTAAGTACCGATGAATAGACAAACTAACAAGCTGGCAACTATTAAAGACTAACATCACAAGTTCTGCAATACTTTCATCTCTAACATAAAGTGGTCAGATAGATTTGCTGTTGCGCTTCGCATACATTCGTTACCTTGGTGGAATGCCGACGTTGAACGGTCTCTAGCCAAGTCAATTGAATAAAATATTAAATAAGAAATAGGATGAACTTTGATACGTTAAACTCAATATCAACCTGGGGTAAAGGTTTAAAGAAATACAGTCTACTTAAAACAGAAACTAATATTTTTTAAAATTTACATCCGAATTGAGCCGAGGTAACAGATAATGTTTTGATTACAGAGTTTTTGTAAACTGCCTCAAATCGATTGCAACCAATATATTTTAAATTATGCGACCAATGAGTCTGTAGACTATCTATTGGCATATTTAGCATCAATGTAAACATTTACAATGTATAATGTTAAATTTTCTATTATTTTCGTTTTGTTTTTCATAAATATGAAATGTTTTTTACAATACTTGTACGTGTATCTATCTATAACAATATGAAAAAACAATTCTAAAATATTAGCTTATTTTTCAGCTAATTGTTTCTGGGATTTAGCTTATTTTTGCTTATTTTTTGTCCTGATACGGCTATTTTTTCTCGGGAAAAACGGCAATACTGATGCTCATAGCGAATATTCGATGTCAATGACTGTGAAAGCTTCACTACATAGATTAGTGTAAATAGCTTTGCGAGTCGAAAACAAAATACTGAAGGTGGTCAAACTAGACTATACTTATGCGCCAACATTCCAAAAGTAATTTTGTTGAAAAGCAGAAAATAAATGATTTTTATATTTACTTGGACGTTAATACTAACAATATGTACAGTCAATAATATCATTTTCGTTCTCGCTTAATGAATTTTTATGATTTCTTATTATTATTAATTTTTAACACCACTAGATCTGATATAAATTGATGACCACTGTTATATATCGATAGTCTATCCGAAAAAAATCTAATAATAATTGGAACTAGTTCGATACTCAACTACTCAACTCAATCAACACGTGCGTTCCTCGGCCATTTTTCTTAACCTGCCGCCACGTGCGGACGTATTCTTGCATCGCACGTATTGTATCGGAAGTATAATTAATTAAAATGACTGACGTTGGTAAGTGACCATTAATAAAAAACAACAAATAAAGTGCTCAAATGTGTAATACGTCATTTCAGATTCTCGCAAAAAAAAGAAGAAAATCAAGGAAGAGCCACTCGATGGACAAGACATTGGCACTCTGCAGAAACAGAACCAATTTCAAATAAAACCATCATCAAAAATAGCCGAGTTGGACACTTCCCAGTGGCCTCTACTGCTTAAAAACTTTGATAAGTTGAACATACGCTCGAATCACTATACTCCGCTAGCACATGGCTCTTCGCCGCTCAATCGTGATATCAAAGAGTACATCAAAACCGGCTTCATTAATCTCGATAAGCCCTCAAATCCCAGTTCGCACGAGGTGGTCGCATGGATTAAGAAAATATTGAAAGTTGAGAAAACCGGGCACTCGGGTACATTGGATCCGAAGGTTACAGGTAAGTTGAATCGTACCGACTAAAATTGTGACAATATTGGCTTTTCGATATTTCGTTCATATCTAACGCGCGATACTTTTTCAATCCAACCTAAAAATCGTTACTGACGCACGTGCCTACGCACATTTTCTAACACAGGCTGCTTGATTGTCTGCATTGACCGCGCCACACGTCTTGTCAAGTCGCAACAAAGTGCCGGCAAAGAGTATGTTGCTATTTTTAAACTTCACGGTCCCGTTGAGTCGGTGGCCAAGGTACGTCAGGGCTTGGAGAAATTGCGTGGTGCGCTTTTCCAGCGCCCGCCCCTCATCTCTGCTGTGAAGCGTCAACTACGTGTGCGCACAGTCTACGACAGCAAATTGCTGGACTACGACGAAACACGTAATATGGGTAAGTCAACAAAATACAGCACTCTTTACTCTCCAAATGCAGCCAGTGCGTCGCCGTCTGGCCTAAGACAGAGGCGCACAGTGCTAAAAATGCACTGGAACACAGCATAATTACAGTATTTGCTCTAGCGAATGCACAGTCGTATTGGTAACACAGTCTGTTGTTTTTGTCTCTATACTTACGTGTTTAGGTGTTTTTTGGGTTAGCTGCGAAGCCGGTTCCTACATACGTACCATGTGCGTCCATCTGGGTCTAGTTCTTGGCGTAGGTGGCCAGATGTTGGAGCTGCGTCGTGTTCGCTCTGGCATACAGTCCGAACGGGATGGCATGGTAACCATGCATGACGTACTCGATGCCATGTGGCTGTACGAGAATCACAAGGACGAGTCTATGCTGCGTCGCGTGATCAAGCCACTGGAGGGCTTGCTAATCAACCACAAACGCATCATCATGAAGGACAGTTCGGTATGTTGCACAGTATTATGAGATTTGTAAACAATACCCCAAGATATTAAGCCGGCAGTCGTACGTATTTCAACCAGCGGCGACTGTGACTATGACTGGGAACAGTAATGCCGCTGATGTGTGTATGTTGGTGTTGCGCCCACCATGCGTATCTGACAAAGTAATTTTCAGACGACAAATATTCTTCTAAATATATATACATATATATATTTATATTAAAGCTAGCAGATATATAGTTCATACATAACTATTTTTAATTTCCATCAGGTCAATGCTGTTTGCTACGGTGCCAAAATTATGTTGCCTGGCGTCCTGCGCTATGAGGATGGCATTGAAATAGAACAGGAGATCGTCATCTGCACCACAAAGGGTGAGGCAATTTGCCTGGCCATTGCAATGATGACCACAGCAACTATGTCCTCGTGTGATCATGGCGTCGTTGCAAAGATCAAGCGTGTGATCATGGAGCGTGACACATATCCGCGCAAGTGGGGACTGGGACCTAAGGCTTCGGCCAAGAAGGCGCTCATTGCTGCTGGCAAACTGGATAAGTTCGGCAGACCCAATGAAAACACACCAAAAGAATGGCTGACAGGCTTTGTGGACTACAATGCCAAGAAGCCAGCCGCAGCTGTCGTCCCGCAAGCTGCAACGCCCTCAAATGGCTCCAATGAGATCAGCAAGGTTTGCAGAAATGCGTGAATTATACATAATCGAATTTGAATCTAAAAAAGAATTTCGGTATGCAGCGCAAACATAGCACATCCAGTGCAGAGGAAGCGGCAGTTGACGCCACGCCCGCAACTACAGAAAAGAAGAAGAAGAAAAAGAAGCATAAGGGAGAAGAGGAGGCGCCGGCTGCGGAAGAGTCCACTGCTGAAGTACCTGTTGAGAAGGAGAAGAAGAAAAAGAAGAAGAAGGATAAGGATAGAGACAGAGTAGAAGATCAGGAATAGGATACAATAATTTCTATTAATCTAGGCATTAGGCATTAATCCTCTACAATTTCGAGAGCATTTTCATAGCTGTTAAGGTTAAAGTTTTAGACCGCCTCTTGCTCATGTGAGCTGTACAAATGCAAATTTTCAAGCATTTATAAGTGACATTCGCAATGCAATAAATTGTATTTTATTGTAAATCTTTATGAATATATAATTTTATTCTGTTTACTTTTTAGAATTTTAGTTAGAAAGTGCTTTAGCTTTAAATTTAAAAGGTGAGTTTTGAATGATGATTTCAAATTTATAAAAACGCATTCTTCAAATGTTTTATCATCTTACGATGAGGGGCTCTCGCCCCTATCGTAAATTTCTCATGTTGAATGCGAGATTGGTCTTACTGAATTGAAAAGAAAAACATTTGAGGAATGGCTTTATAAAATGATAATAATATTTCTTAGTAACATTTTTTGTATATATGTATATTTTGCAGAACTTAATCTGAAAGATTCTCTTGCTAAGCAAAAGAGCCTAAAAAACTCCTAAAATGAAAAGGTAAATACAATTATGATTAAAATTTAACAGATAATTTTGAGATATTGATGAGCTTCAAGCTTTCGCCCCTATCTGAAAACTAAGAGAAACTTCCAATGTTGAATGCGTGATTGGTCTTACTGAAATGAAACTAACAAAATCTTAAAATATTTGAATTATATATGTGCCTAACGAGCATTTATTATATTTTATAGAGAATTCTTTGGGAATGTTCTTCACGAGATTTATTATATTCATAAGGTAAGCAATATGTCAAGAGAATATTGAATAATACTTAGCTTTAATCTTTGCATGATGAGCTTCAAGCTTTCGCCCCTATCTGAAAATTAAGAGAAACTTCCAATGTTGAATGCGTGATTGGTCTTACTGAATCGCACATTTTTTAAATCAATATAGTTCAATTGTGAATCCAATTTTAATCAAAATTTCAATTAATTTTATTATAGATGTTCTACGGCTGTTGTACATCTACAAACTATTGGTGACGTGCTTATTAAAGGTTAGTATCCATTAAAGTTGGCATAATTTACATTGTTCCTTCAATGATGAGCTTTAAGCTTTCGCCCCTATCTGAAAACTAAGAGAAACTTCCAATGTTGAATGCGTGATTGGTCTTACTGAAATTAAACTGAACTGAATATCTTAAAATTTAACATATATTTGTGCTAAAAGAGCCTTTCATTATATTTTGCAGTCATATCTTGGAAAGTATTTTTCGAATCAATTATAAGGTAAGCATTTAATATAAATGTATCAATGAAAACTTAATATATTTAGATTTGTTTTCTACATGATGAGCTTCAAGCTTTCGCCCCTATCTGAAAATAAAGAGAAACTTCCAATGTTGAATGCGTGATTGGTCTTACTGAAAATCATTTTAAAATAATATATCACAACCCATTTATAAAACTAAGCTAATAAACTGTGAACTTACATTGCAGGCTTACTACGGAGCTAATCTTCGAAACGCTTTGATTTGTAAAGGTAAAAATCTTTTGTATTTAAAGTAGCTTAGAGTTTGTTTGTATACTGATGACAACGGAAGTCTGAATGTGTCATGATTCACAAATACCGCAGCAACCCAATCCTCAAAAATAGGTCCTACTGAACTAAAACTCTAATTAAGTGTATTAAAAATGAATTGCAATTATTTTACTATTATATATTTCCTTTAATTTTCAGAATTTTGATGGAACCCTCGCATTTGCGGTTGTTACAAGGTGGGTCTATTTACAATGGTGACTTCATAAAGCATATACCTTTAAAATGATGAAAAAGGAAATATGAACTTGTGATATGATACACAAATACCGCAACAACACAATCCTCAAAAATAGGTCCTACTGAACTGTATTTTCAAGAATATGACTGAATTATCTAAATCAATAAACTTTGAATTAACTGTTTAATTTTTTCTGTTCATTTACAGGTACAGTACGTGACGCTTTGTGTTACTTAATTTTCTTGTATTAATATTCATAAAATAAAAGTAAACACTACAATTATAAATAAAGTCGTTTAGCGGCGTACACTTCGTGACAACGCCTAACCTTAAATCATTTAAATAAAACGGAATCTGCAGGGTTGCCGCCGTCGCCTATCAAACGATAATGTGTTGAGATGTGCTGACGTGGAATCACCTTGAGCAAGTTCTTTATGACTAGTTAGGTAGAGTGCTTTAATTATATAAGTCAACACTAAACATGTGTTTTATCCTCTGGCGCTTGAATCAAATGGAAAGATACAGGAGTGCTCACGGTCGATTTATGAAACTGAAACATTTAGAGTCGGTTAGTAATTAGTTTTGAGGCTCTCAACAGCTTTTATGCAGCTTCGAATATCACTTGGGTTCAAGTTTTTGGCGCTCAGCAACCCTGCGTTTCATTCCACGTAGCTGCCTGTTTTGCTCTGTTATCGGTCTCCATATTGAAATTCATCATGCAGTCGTCGATATATGTATGCGAAATGTGTATGTATACATATATGTATTAGTTCGTATGTGCTTTTAAGTACGTCAGCAGCGAGTGGCGCAAGTAATTGCGCGTTTAGGTGAAAAAAGTTTTAGATATCAGAGTCCCCCTTTGAATTTGGACAGAAGGAAGTATAGTAGCGCTCGGTGTGTGCACAGGTCTGTGCAGGTAAGTGTCTTACTCTCTATTTCGATATCAGTTTTACTTGGCAGGACTCTTTCGGCTAGTCTAAATTTTCTCTTCGGACTTTTACCGTTCATTTGTATGTGTGACGAAGAGTTGTCGGCGGCTTAAATTCTTACGCATCCGATCGGCAAAACCGTATACGTGAATTTGTACGGCCGCGACGCCATCTTGGATTTTATTTTGAGGTTATCGATTTATTTAATACGCATTGCGAAGTGTCTAGTTTTTTGTTTGCAACCTAAGCAATCTTGTGTCCTTTGAGGAATATAATAGCAATAATCAAATAGAAAATTTCACTTACAAAATTTTAATAACAGTAGACATTTAAAGTTATAAATTCTATTAAAATGTAGAAAAGATCGCAATTCTTAAATTTAGTCTAGTGTTGAGTTAATAAATTATATATATTCTGAAAGAATAACTCGTAAGGTAATAATATTAATTAATATCTATTTGTTTTAAATTTGATGTCTCTTGCTTAGCTTTTCCCCTTTAACCAAAATAAAACGGTTATCGGCGACCACGTGCGTACGCACACATCTTTACATATGTACATTGCAGAAATACACTTACGATATGTACGTACATACATACATAGGTACATCTGCACGTGTATGACATAAGAATACTACTGTTGTGCCATTCCATTGCATTTCGCAGGAACGACTGAAAACGGGTCCACACACTGACACTGGCCTACGCTCACACACAGCTACACTGACTCATACACATACACACAAGCCAGTCGTCGCAGGGCCCGTGCAGAGGCAGAGCTGTTTGTGATCGTAAAATTTATACACGCGTTCTTCTTGAATTGAATGCAAAGTTTAATTAATTGAAAATGTCATTTCATTGTGCACATGCGTAATGTCTACGAAAATTCGACTATGTTGGCATTAGTTGAAACCCGGAATTAGTGCAACAGCAAAGTGAGAAAATGTTGTAGCTGCCTCTGCCTCTGCTGTTGCTTTCTTGTGTTGTGGGTGTGTGTGTGTGCTTATGCGAGCGGAATCTGTTGTGTGCGAGGCTTATTCAAAGGCGTTCAGATAACTAGGCCAATTTCTGTGACCGTTCTGTACGTTTAATGTGTGTGGCTTAAATGAGGTGTGTATTCCCTTTTGCGAATGTGCAAATGACATGTGGACATGTCATATGTTTTTGTGAGGCTCGATAACTTGATATTCTATAAGATGTGTATGTGCTGTTGAACGGATTAAAGTTGCAGAACAATTCCTCTTTGATGTCTGGGCATATTAAATTAAATTGATAATTGTGTTGTGTATAGCTGACGACTTTTAATTACATTTTCGTGCGTCAGGTGATTCCTGTGTGTATCTGTAAGCGCACCAGTGCTGCCTGTTTCGATTACCGAAAAAGTGCTGCCCAACTTTTAATGAAAGTGCCGTCGTCGGGTTATCACAAATATAAGCGCCGATATATCTTGACGTACACTAGGGGCCCCTACCCTATTAATAACAATTCATTGAATGGATTACGTTTTCATATTATAAAAGACGCAGCGATAGTAAAAATCGTATCTTTACGTAATGTACAAATTATGTCGAATGAAGGCTTATAATTATTTATTTATTTTTAGGATGATACAGGAACTGCCGCGTATTGTCCTCAAAGGCAACGATTTGAGAAAATTTCTCTTTTTGAAACACAAATATCCAGTTTCGCAGGAGTTTCTGCACAGAAACTGGGCTAATGCAAAGCGATTCATTATCTACGCTCTAAATCCGCGCTGCGTGCTCCGCACTTACGCATGGCGCAAACGCAGTCACAGGGTCGTGATCATACGCCGTGTCCGTCTGCTTCTCTTCGACCCGCGACTGAAGCGCATGATCAAACGACGAAAAGCTAATTTCAAGCAATGGTCGTCGAGCATGGTACGATATTACAAGAAAATGGGGCATGTGAAGGAGTACGAGGAGACGGAGCTGTATGGCGAGGAGCTGTCCAAGCAGATGAAGCAGCAATTGGAGCTGCTGAAGAGCGGCAAACGTGGTCTATCACTGATCGAAGATGCGAATAAAAACGTTGAGCTCCGTCAAGAGCAGTCAGAGGAGAATATGCAGGAGGACGTAGAGAAGAAGAGGGCGGAGCCAACTCATCAGCAGGCAGAAGAGAAGCTGGAAGAGCAGCATATAGAAGACGAGTCAGCAAAACTATTAGCAATAATCGAAGGGACATTGAAAAGACCTGAAATATCTAAAGAAAAGCCAGCTCGCCGACCTACAGCTGAAAATGAGTCGCTGGAGCCAGCTGCTGTGTCGCCCACAAGCAAAGCCAACAAGCGGCTTGAACCTTCCACAGAAAAGGCATCGGACAGTAAATTTTTGGACATGCTAATGAATAAAGTGCGTGTCAAGACCTTTGCCAGAGAGTTGAATTTCTCCAGCTCCGATAATGAGCTGCAAGGTCCAAGCGATAAGCCCGCCGATGAGGGAACAGCCGACTTTAGATTTAACGACGAGGCGAGTGAAGACTTCGTCGAATTCGATGACAGCGCTCATCAGCCGGGCATGCTACTCACTCCACTGGTGCCACAGAGCTGCAAAACTCTGGATGGCAACGGGGCCTTCGTCAGCGATGCGCTGGAAGCGTATATGAAGAAGAACAACCTGCGCGATACTCGCTCGGCAGATCGTGAGCTGCTCGAGCCCATGTACCAGGATGGGCGTGTCACGGCGCACAGTGTGCCGCCGCATATGGATATGCCGGCGGTGCCGGACAGCTTACAGAAGCTGCGCACTGTTGCCGAACGCCGGCACTATCTGCAGCGCTCCAAGAACCAAAAAATGGCCATCATCAATAACGAGGCGAACATCTACCGCGAGCTGCAGCGCAAGCAGCGGCAGCGAAAGGTGAAAATCGCCGCCATGCAGCAGCTGCAGTCGCCCATCACTCAAATGCCCTTCACCCGGCAGGGCTGGCAGGCGGCGAGCTACGTGTCCACGGAGACGGATAAGTATTACTACCAGGTCATCCGCATTGATGGCGAGATGGTGCGTCTGCCTGGCAGCCAGGGAAACAATGCGCGCCGCGAAAAGCAGCCGCATCGCAACGCGCTCACTGCGCAGGAGTTGGCCACGCTGCAGTGTAGCGACCGGTGCGTGGACGCGGCTCTGCGCAATGAGCTGAAAGTGATCCCCACGCGCCAGTGTCAGCTGAAAGGCAAACTGCAGAAGCTCAATCAGTATCCATTGCCAGCCGTATTCAGGCCCTGCCCGCTCTCACAGAAGCCATATCAGAAGCCGCTAGACGACGACACGGCCGCCCTCTTGCTAGCCGGCGGGAGCATGGCCGTGGTCAGCATGCCCACCGTGCATCTGGACGTGAAGCCGCAGCTGGGTCGGCCATTGAATGAGATCGCCAAGCGGTATTTGCAGTACATTCTGCCGCACCATGACATCACGCGCGAGTGGGCCGAGTTCAGCGTGTCCACACTGCAGGAATCGCCCAACAGCATGCGGGAGGCGGAGGCACAGGCCGCCGTCCAGTCCACAAATGTCGGCAGGCGCAAGAGCTTTACTTTTGTGATACCCTATATGAACGATCGCAATCACATTCTAGTGCGCCGCGTTGTCGATCGCTCCGAAAAGCTGGACGAGAGCTTTAGTGCTTCTCAACCGCCGGAGAGGCTGCGCGACTTAGAGTTTCGCAAGCTGCTGCCCGAAAATGCAGATGACATTGCGTTGGACTGTGCGGACATGGTCAATGATATGATCAACACCGTAGCCATCAGCTGCAGCGAGAACTCGTTCATCAGCGTTGATGTCGATGCGGTTCGTGGCCCCCCTCTGGATGTAAGCCCCATTAAGGAGGAGTCTGCTGGTGCCGGCAATTCGGATGCTGCTGAAGGCGACGCCCAGACAAAGACGGGGCATAAATCCACCCAAGCCACCAGCAAGCCACGCCCCAACAAACAGCAGCGCTTAGCCAAGGAGCTGCGCCGCCTCAATGCCACCATAATCGATGCGGCCGCCATAGCCAAGGATGGTAAGTCTATGCTCTGAACTCTTGCTGAGATGGCAGTAGATCTCTAGATACGTCACACTTCTTAATTCTACTTACTTAATATGATTCGCATATATTATCTACATTTTTACATATGTATGTATATTAATATTCTGTCAGCCTCTCGAGGCGAGAAATAGTTATTTTTAATCAGCAATTGATTGATGAATGATTAATATTTGAATAGTATTAAAAATCCTATTCCCGATCGCGTTGTTGCAAGGGACAATTTTGCGTTCATCAAGTGAAAAACATACATACATATGTCCATATGTACATACATATATATGTACATATATCATAAATAACCAGCAGT